ACACACACACACACACACACACACACACACACACACACACACACATATATATATATATATATATATATATCACCATAAATTATATGTCAACCTTTCTTACAATAAGAAAAAATTATAAATTATTTTGTGGGGAAAATCCATTGGTTCCAGTACATGTAAAAATACCAAGTTTATAAGGCTACAACTGTCAAGAGGGATCTCTAGTGGATTTTTTTATGGAAAGTGGACACCATAGGTTCTAAAATTAAAGCAAGTGTTCATGCAGCATAGTCTAGTACTTTCTAACTCCTGAAGCAACCCATACTGGTCCTTGGAGTCCCTGTTGGTCCTCTCCTCCCCCTGTTGGTCGTGACTATCCCTGCATTGAGGATTTTGTGCAGGCTGACACTGGAATTCTCTCACTGTGTCTCTGGCACAATAATACAGGGCAGTGTCCTCAGTTTGCAGATTGTTCAGTTTTAGGACAACTTGACTCTTGGAGGTGTCTCTGGTGATGCTGACTCGGGATTGGAGAGCAGAATTATACCCAGGGTTTCCATCCCATGATATTCCTCCCATCCACTCTAGACGCTTTCCTAGAGGGTGGCAGACCCAGTGTATATTGTAGTCACTTAAAGAGAACCCAGAGACAGTGCAGGTGACAGACAGGGTCTCCGAGGGTTGCACCAGGCCAGGTCCTGACTCCTTCAGCTGCACTTGGGACAGGACACCTGTGGACAAACAATATCGCCATCACTCATACATCCCATAATAATATGCCTGGGTTCCTCTCCTGAAACCCTGGACACTTATTGCTTGGAAAGGTTGCCAGGCAAAGAAGCAGCACCAGGAAAGCCATGCTCTGCTGGAGGCTCCAGTGAGAAGGAGATGGAGCTGCTCAGCTAGGCCCTGGGCTTTCAGCTGGAGCCTGAAGCTGCTTTGCATTGTGGGAGGATCCTGAGAGGATAAAAGGAGGCACAGGGCAAGGTTTCCACTCTTCCCTCTTCCACTCTTCTCTCTGGTGAATGATGTTTGCCTTTTGCTTCTTATAGCAGCTAGTGTCAAAATAATCAGGAACATTTTCTGATTCTTTCTGGATTTCCAGTTCCATGTAAAGGGGAAATTTTATGATCCACCCTGTGCTGGCATTGGATGCCAAACATTAAATTAGTCCACATTCATAAGAGAATGCCCCATCTTCAATGCAATGAATGTCACTGTGAATTCCAGCAGAGTCTTTAGAAGGATTTTGGTCATATGAATTTAGTCATCCATCTGGACTCCTATATGTGAAATTCGGGTACTGGAACTACTTAGTCTTTTCTCTTTGTGTCAGTGGAGTTAATCACTTCCATATCCCTCACCTAGAATCCAACTTGTGAGAAAGCAACTCACAAGCATTTAGTGCATGTGATTTTTAATGTTTTTCTGAGAGGAGACCAAAGGGACTGACTATGTTGCCATGTCAGTGGTCTTGGAATCACCTGCCCAGTAAGATACATCATGCCTGGAGATCAGTCATACTACCTCCTGTTTGTCTGTCTCTGTGTACTTTTATATTTCTCTCTTAGTCTGATTACTGCTTTAAGACCACTACAAAACCATGTTAACCATGGTCCTTAATATGACCAATGCATTGGAGAGGTATGGGAAGGTCTGCCCTTCACAATGAGGACACCATGAAAAGAAATAGCATGCTACCAGGCTTGAAGGTTATGTTAAGTGAAGTAATGAAAAGACACAGTACCCATTGTGTAAATGTACCATATTTCCTCTATCCATTCTTCAGTTGAGGGGCATCTAGGTTGCTTCCAGGTTCTGGCAATTACAAATAATGCTGCTATGAACATATTTGAGATATGTCCTTGTTGTATGAATGTGCATTCTTTGGATATGTGCCCTAGAGAGGAATTGCTGGATCTTGAGATACACTGATTCCTATTTTCCTGAGAAATCACCATACTGATTTCCAAAGTGGTCTTACCAGTTTGCACACCCTCCAGCAATGGAGGAGTGTTCCTTTATCTCCACATCCTCTCCAGCATAGATTGTCATTGGTGTTTTTGATTTTAGCCATTCTGGCCAGTGTAAGATGGTATCTCAGAGTTGTTTTGCTTTATATTTCCGTGATGGTTGACGACTTTGAACACTTTCTTAAGTGTTTTTCAGCCATTTTACATTCCTCCGTTGAGAATTCTCTTTTTAGCTCTGCACCGCAAGTTTAATTTCATTGTTGTTTTTGAGACTAGTTTTTGTGTTCTTTGTATATTTTGGATATCAGCCCCATGTCAGGTGTAGAGTTGATGAAGGTCAGCAGAAAATATTAATGGAATTAATAGAAAATTAACAGAATCTTGAAATTAATGGAACTAGACAAAACCATCCTGAGTGAGGTAACCCAGTCACAAAAAGACAAACATGGTATGTACTCACTCATATATGATTTTTAGCCATGGAGCAAAGGATTGCCAGCCTGCAATCTTCCTCACAAAAGGAACTGGGAAACAAGAAGGACTCTAAGAGAAGAATGCATGGACCACTGAGAATGGGAAGGGGCAGGAACTGGTGAGATAATTGGGAGTATGAACGTAGGGGAGAGGGAGCTGGGAGAAGGAGAGGGGGAGAAGAGGTGGGGAGAGGAGGAAATGGAGGAGCAGGAAGATTGAGTCGGGGAAGAATGGAGGAGAGCAGGTTTGGAGATACCATGTCATAGGGAGCCACTATAGGTTCGAGGAGAGATCTGGCACTAGGGAGATTTCCAGAGATCTACAAGGATGACACTAAATGACAATCTAGGCAATGGTGGAGAGGCTCCCCTGAATGCTCTTCCCCTATAATGAGCCTGATGACTTCTTTACATGCCATCCTAGCTCCCTCATTTAATGCATGATGGAGCAGAGGCAGACAGCCACAGCTAAACACTGAACTGAACTCTGGAACCCAGTTGCAGAGAGGGAGGAGCGAAGAGCAGAGAGGTTGAGACCAAGCTGGTGAAACCCACAGAAACTTCTGACCTGAACAAGAGGGAATTCATGGACCATAGACTGACGTCTGGGAGGCCAGCACATGACTTATCCAGACCCCTGAACGAGGATGTCAATAAGGAGGCCTATGAACTCTATGGAGGCCCTGATAGTGTTCAGTATTTATCCCATGGCATAAGAGGAGACTTTGTAGCCCATCCCATTTGTAGGGATGCATTCAGCCTGCACACATGGCAGAGGGCCTAGGCCCTGCCCAGGATGATATGACAGACTTTGGCAAACCTCCATGAAGGGCCTTCCCCTCCCTTAGGAGCAGTGGGGGTATAAGGAGGAAAGCTGGGAGAGGGTTTGGGGGAAGGGTGGGAGAGGGAGATAGATTGACATGTGAACCTGGCATGTAACTAATTTGAACTAATTAAAAATATCTCTTGGTGGAAAATACAGGTTAGTCTTTGGATTACATTTGTAATAAAAAGAGAGAACCCTAAGATATGACAGGAAATAGAGAGAGAGAGCATTCTTGAACAAGGAGAACTGGTTGCTTTATGTGAGGATCAGCACAGAGAACAAGGGATTGTGGGCTTTTCTTCATGCCTCTGTACTGTACATGATCAGGAATTTGAAGAGAATAGTTCAAAACAACCTGTTTAGTAGCTCCCAGAGAACATCCATGGCTTCTTTCTCAGTCGACAGCCCATACATTGCATCCCTTACTCCTGTGTGCACACACTGTGCTGTGAGTGGCAGCCATGGAGACAGGTCTGAACACTGGGGTGCTGCCTCCTGTGTAGGTTCTGATGGGCACCCTCCACTATGTCTGCTGTGTCCTGCTTGTCCACATTGTCCTGTTGTTGAGAATATTAGCTCCCAGAGAACATCCACCGAGTCTTTCTCAGTTGACAGCCCATACATTGCATCCCTTACTCCTGTGTGCACACTCTGTGCTGTGAGTGGCGGGCGTGCAGACAGGTCTCAACATTGGTGAGCCGCCTCCTGTGTAGGTTCTGATGGGCACCCTCCACCATGTGTGCTGTGTCCTGCTTGTCCACGTTGTCCTGTTGTTGAGAATAGTTTTCACACCTTATGTTCAATGAGTCTCATCTTGGGGTTGTCTGATTTTCATTGTTCTTATAGGATCTTACAAAATCACAAGAATGATTGTGTTTTTTTTTCTAACATTTTGGAGAAGTGGTATGAGACTCCCTTACTCAAGAATTTTTGTCTTTCATGATGTAAGAAATAATTAGGGTTCATTTTGTGGTTCATTGTGAGATTTCCTTCTCCATGAGAAGGCAGTCACTAAGAATATTCACACTCAAAGGGAATGCACTCTGGGTGAAGCTGCCCATAACTCACAATGATCTTCTGTTTCAGAGGTAAGTTCTTATACTTGCCTGTCTTCAGTCATGTGTTTACTTCTCTCTAGTGGACTCATGGACACTCTGCTGATGATCATGATACAGTGACTGTACAAGACTGTTCGTGTGGTGGTTTGAATTTTGTCAAAGCAGTCAAAGCTATGCTTTCTGCGAAATGAATGCCTCAGTTAAAAAAAAAATTCCACCACCAGATAGGCCTGTAGGCAATCCCCTGTTGGCATGTTAGCAAAATTGTAATGTCACAATTTCCTTTGTATTCTTGAGGAAAGAAGTGGAGAATATTTCCCTTGAAACAGCGAAGGGGAATTTATTGCAGTAGACGCTTTATGAAGATTTAGGTAGAATAAGGCTGATCCTAGGAATCCATGATTCAGTCACACCTGCTACCCTCCCTCCTCAGCTTCTCTCTTCTGATGACCCTTTCTATCCCTCCTTCTCTCATGTCTTTCTATCCTTTCTCTCCTCCCCTCTTCCCTGTCTCCATGCCAACCGTCCCGTTTCCTTACTCTCTGTCTCCCCTGTCTCCTTCTCACTCTCCTCCATCCTCAACTGTGATATTGAGGGGCAGTCAGGACACAGAACTGCCCAGCCCCGTTTGCCTCAGTAGCATTCACTCACTGTGTCTCTTCCACAGCAATACATGGCTTGTCCTCAAACTTGAGGTCGTTCATTTGCAGATTCATGGAGTTCTTGGAATTGTCTCTGGAGATGGTGAATCTGCCCTTAACAGCGTTAGCATAGTAAATGTAACTACTGTCAGCATTAATATATGCGACCCACTCCAGCCCCTTCCCTGGAGCCTGGCAGACCCAGTTCATGGCATAGCAACTGAATGTGAATCCAGAGGCCGCACAGGAGAGTTTCTGGGACTTCCCATGCTGCACTAACCCTCCTCCAGACTTCACCAGATGCACCTCACACTGCATACCTGCAAACACAATAAATTCTGGTCAGAAACTGACACAGAAGCTATTTTGACTTTCCTATGTCTACAAAACCCATAGTATCTCCTATCCACTAATTACCTTTTATAGTAAAAACAAGGAAAAACCAAATTCCCCCCAACTCCATGGTGAGTGGCCTGTGTTCAGTGCTGATCACAGAATGGGAGGACCTGGGAATCCAGGGCTCGGCTCCTGTGCCAGACTTCAGGGTCAGGGCAGGGCAGGTTTTCATGGGCACAGAGAAGCCTCATTTGCATGTCTTCCTGCTATAGCAGCCTCTGCAGGTGGGCAGTGCTCAGAGCAGATGTCAGACATCAAAGACAATGATGTCAGTTACAGGAAGTGACACAGTGTGGCAGTTCCCAATGCAGCTTTTCCTTTTTAAGGGTTCACCATGTTGCACTTAGTTCTCTCTGTGTCTGTGAACAGAGCATGCTGTGTGCATATACAGGCATGTCTCCTCAGTGTGAACTTGAAATGCAATGGCTCCACACACAGTTTTCTTCCTACACAATAATGCCATCTATCCCACTGTCTGGGGTGGAGCTGGCTCTTCCCTGATGATGTTCTTGTGCAGGGTCAGACCTTCCTACGGCGGTTGTCATAATTCCTTCTCTATGATAAGAACATGGGTTTTCTTATTTCCTTCTGTGTCATGAAAACTCGGGTTATCATATTTCCTTCTCTGTGGCGAGAATACCGGAGTGGGAGTGTTTCTAGAAATTTATTCATTGCTGAGAGCATTGTTCTCAGGGGCATTTGGAGGTTGCAAATGTGAGATCCCCTGTCACTGTCTGTCTGCCACTAAGTGTTTGCTCTGTAGTCAAATTCCTATTTGCAACAAATTCACTTTTTTGCTTCCTGACTTTCTGCCTTAGATTCCTTATAATTCCTTCCACTGCCCTCTTCATCTTTCCATCAGGCAACAAATAAATAACTGTCTTTATGCACTGTTAGATTGTTTTTATATCCACAATTTATACAATTAGTATATCCAAGGCTTTTCATTAATATTTAGCATGCCTACAACTTTATATTATATCATTAAATGAAGTGCAGATGTACAACAACTTAAACAAGAACAGAAATATATATATCATATAAAAATATTCTTATATTTGTATTAGTATACAAATATCCATATCAATGTAAAATATTTGACACTAGAAGGTTTATTTTAGTTCAAAAGTAGACTCAACAATCCACCCTTCAATCCAACCATTTCTATATTATATTCTCTATTTTCCCTTCATAATGAGACCCCCTCAATTTAATCTTCTTTGTTCAGCTTTTTTTCCATTCAATGAGCAATAACAACTTGTAACCAACCCTACTAAATGATGACTGACACCCATAACTCAATGAATGACCAAAATATTCCCACCTCACTTCTTAAGAATGTGGGTGTTGTGTTCACTAGATGGCTTCCTGTTGTCTCTGAGCACAGGCATCCCCTACAGGATGCTGAGAAACCTGGGATGATGGTCAAGTCATGGAAGAGCTGGCTGTATCATTTTTGTTTATTCTCTTGTGATGGGTCTGTGTAGAGCTCATCTCAATTTTGGCTGGAGAGTCTGTGAGGCTGGGCCATCTCAGATAGCAACTCTGAAGCTGTTCTGCATGCAAAATTTTGAGGCAACTGTAAAAATATCTCTCTGAGAGGCTGGACCATCTGAGATTCTCTTTATTGGTGTCTGGTACTTTTTTAATGAAAACACAGAAACTTTTAAAGGTAGCATATATATCTGCTTTGACACAAGTATAGAATGTGCAGTTTGTACAAGTCTGCTAAAGGTGAATTTTGTTCTATGTTTGAGCAGGTAAAAGGCTCCGGCTTGCTGTGGGATGGTGTTTATCTGAATAAAGAAATCTTAGCATTACTGCCTATGGATCATCATTGATGGCACTCAATAGCCTCCTAGCTGGAACCCACTTTCAGAAGGCTTGGTTCAGTCCATGCTGTCTCCCCAGCTTTATGAATATGGTCTCCATGCCCTCAGTAGGTCAGGTCAACTGTTTCTTCTGGTTTCTGCTCACCCTCTTGGCTTCATTGCTAATCCCTCCTCCCTCTCCACAACTGGATTCCAGCATTATGGTTCAGTGCTTTGCTGTGGGTGCCTCTTTCTGCTTCAAACAGCTATTGGATCAAGACTCTAGGAATCGTAACAAAGGGAGACATCAATCTCATTATAGGGGAAGGGCATCAATGGAATCTACTCCACCACTGCCTGGCTTCTTAATGGGGTCATCCCTGTGGATGCCCTAACATTTCACCTGTGCCAGACCTCTCTCCATACCTGTACTGTCTCCCTCTATCAAGGCATCTCCTTTATTGCCCTCCTCTATTCCTCCCCTGTCTCAGTCTTCTTGTTTCCCCCTCTCTTCCCTTCCCACCTCCTTCTGCCCCCCAATGCTCCCACTTCGCTCAAGGGTTCTTGTTCCCCTCCCCTTCTTTGAGGCACTATGCAATCTTCTCTTGGGGTCCTCCTTATTTCCTAGCTCCTCTGGCAGTGTGGAATTTAGACTGGTAATCCTTTGCTCTATGTCTACAAATCATATATGAGTGAGTGTATACCATGTTTATCTTTTTGTGATATTACAAAAAATGCTTCTATGATCATAGTTGAACATATGTCCTTATTATATGAATGTGCATTCTTTGGCTATATGCCCAAGACAGGAATTGCTGCATCTTGAGTTAGACTGATACCCATTTTTCTGAGAAACAGCCATACTGATTTCCAAAGTGGTTTTACAAGTTTGTACTCCCACTAACAATGGAGGAGCATTCCTTTTTCTCCACACCTTCTCCAGCATAGACTGTGATTGGTGTCATTGATTTTAGCCATTCTGATAGCAGTAAGATGGTATCTCAGAGTGAAAACCGTAACTTTTGTTTCCAGTGGAAACAAAGTCATAACCTCTTCCTCAGTGTTCCTGACCTACATTTTTCAGACATTTAAAAATTATGTAGGTTGGCTTTCTTTATCAATTTCCATAATCTATGACTCCCAGCATCTATTTTTACATTGGCATTAAAAAATTCAAAGTCAACCAAGCATCATAAAAGATCCAAATACCTAGTGCATTTTCATCTCTTTGTAGCTTATTATTTTTATATTAATTTATCCTTTCTTTTTATTCATATTATTATTTATTTTAATTTTATTTTACGTTCCAATCACAGTTCTCCCTACCTGTGTCCTCATGACCCTCCAAGCCTCACCACAGCCCATTCCCCATCCACTCCTACCAAAGAGTAAGGAAACTTTGCTTATTATTTTTAAACATTTTTCTATGAGGGTATATATGCATATTTACTCTATCTGTTCAAAGTTTTTCTTGTCTGGAGTGTTTTATAAGTGCCTGCTACATTTTCTGACCATGTGAGCCATGCTTTCAATCTGCTGTGCAGCTCTGCACGTGGCACCTTCTGGATCAAGCACCCTGGCAGCTGCAGGGGGTGCATCTCTCAACATGACCAGCCTGATAGACTGTGGTCTTAGAAAGCTGTGTCTGACTTTAAGTTGGAAAGTTTGAACATATTTTAAGCTTTCAAAGTTTTTATGCGTAAATATGTCCCCAAATCTGGATTCATATGTAAATGGAACTTCATTGTGTTGATCACTCCCAAATGAAACATGGAAATAGATTATCAGTTATGATATCTAGGCCTTTAGCTTAGGCTTGATTCTAATTAGCTCTTATAACTTATATTAACTCACAGTTTCTTAAATGTGTTCTACCATGAGGCTATTAATGATCCCATTTGTGAGTCTGCCTCATTTGAGTCTGGCTGGCACCCTATGAGCCTCAATTATACTCTTCTTCCTTTTGCAAAGAAGTTCTAACTGTGTCTCTTGCCTGGATATTGGCCATTCAGCTTTTTATTACATCAGTCACAGCAACACACCTTCACAGTGTACAAATATTCCACAACACAGGCAGGTCTCTGACAGGTGGAGGATGGCAACATTCATGATTTTTTCATTTCATGTATCTGCTGAAAACACACTCAACACTTCTTGAGTATCTGCTGAGTTTCAAGACAGTGGGATACAATGGTCTTGTGTAAAAGAGACTTCCCATCCTAGAAGGCGCAGACAGTGTGACAGCAAATGCCTGAAGAAAAACAATCCATTAGTATCAAAAACAGAGATAGCAGTGATGTCTACTGCCATTAGAGAAATTCAGCATTGTCTCCCATTGTCAGGTCGTTTTTCCTCTCTCCTATGTAATTGCCCATATCTGTCTTCTTGTAATTATCCTATTGACACGCATTTGGTCAGTGTTTGGGATCCAGGAAAAAGCATTCCAACTAATGCATTCCTAGATATTCAAGAACATAGAATTACTACACACCCAGAGCTGTTGATTTATAGCTGCCCATATGGATAGAAAATTTTAGTATTCCCTGGATTTGTCTCACTGTCAGATAGAGAAGAATAATCTAGACTAACCCAGCACTAAAAGATTCTGAAACTTCTTTCATTTACTTTTATCCCAGTTTTTGAACCCAAGAGCTTAGCTTAGAGATTTGCTGCTTTAGTTTTCCCTGGGAAGATAATTACAAAGGTAATCAACATATTGGCTCATGCTCAGGAGAGAGTAAACTTTACTGAAGCCTTGTAGGATCACTGAGGACAGAGCAGCTGAAGGGCCAGGTTCTGTTTCTTGTGCAAATTAAACTTAGATACTTTCTTTGACTTAGAGCCCTAAGCAATTGATGCTAAAAGCTTCTCCTAGCAGAAACCAGAGTGAAAGTGTACAAAGCAGTCCAAATCTTGTTTGCTTGCATACCTCTGTTGCTCACTCTGTTGTCTGGTTACCTGATGCTCCCTACGCATGCTGGGAGAAAACCAGCCACTGTGTGAAGAGACAAACTTTGCATTACTTGTGATTTTTTACTGAACACAAACATTTAGCTTTTTAGCTAACCACCCAAAAGTCTAGGGTAGCACACTGGTGCCCCTTTCTAGATTTCCCTGACAATTTCATCTCTTAACTAACCTGCTTTCCCCTTAAGGAGTTCCCTGGACATTCATTATCCAATCCCACAAGTCAGCTGACAATAAGGACTTACTCTATGAAGATCCTTACCTGTCTTTTATGGTTCAAATGAATTCC